GACTGTGATGTCGTAGAAATGAGTTGCTTAATGCAGGTTGTACATCACACACTTTTTCAAGAGCTAAACTACTTTACAGCCACGTGTGACTAGCTACGTTTTCCCATCCTTCTTTGCTCAAGACAGACAGCATTTCTACAGGAGAATCCGCTGCCACCTGACTAATTTTAGATCGTCCACATTTATGCTTTGAGTTGGTGTCATTATCTCAGCAGCAGTGTGGGAGTTTACACCCATAATCTCTGCGTATTGAGAACGGATAAGATCCAATCTGAATAACTGCAAGAGCTCAAGAAATTCATTCTTCCACGTTATTTCTTTCTGGTGATGAATTTTAAATGTGGACCATTCTGGATTTACAGCAGAAGAAAGGAGCTCTGCTAATTGAATGCCCGCTGTGCCAACTGACAGTAACTAACAGGTGCATTGTTTAACCACATCAAGGGTTTACAGTGTGACTATGTCAGAGGTGTGACTATGGTTATCAGATGTCCCTGAGTGGCTAGGATGGGCCAAAGTAGGTTGCAATTTACTTGTGGTAGCATAGCTTAGATTGAGGGATGGTGTACCACGAGTTGGGCACATTCCACAGATGGTCAGATTTTAATACATAGCAAAAGATTGATTTGATGTAAGAGAGATTTTATTTTTACATATTTTTTCTTCCAAGTCAAATGCTGCAGAAACATGGGACTAATTAGAAATGTTTGCATAGTTACATATCACAAATCCTCATAGTCTGTCAGTGATGTTGGAGAGTGATGTGAAAGATATTTAAAACACTATTTTTTGAGGAATATAAATTCGTAGTTATCATAGAGAGAGCAGCGGATTCCCTAAGGACTTGCAGAGGCTAGATGTGATAGGATGATAGGCTTTTTGGTTGGTTTTGCTTGTTTGTGTGTGTGGTTTTTTTTTCCTTGCTTGCTTGCTATGATTGAATTCATCTGGAAGATAATTGCCTGCTCAAAATCCACTGTTTTCACTTCTAATTTCAGCTCATCTTTCTAAATTCAGATTCAGTCTTTCTGGCTGTAGTGTGGAAAACACAGTAATGATACATCAGGACAGGAATAAGTGGCCTATATGTAACCAGAGAGCAGTTTTTGATCCTCTGTTATCTAGTTTTCTGTTATTCCACAACATTTATATGTAAGCTCGTGTACACATGTGTGCACACAGAAGTGTGTGTAAATAAAATAATGCTAACTTCACAAAGCATTATTTCAACAGGGGATCATATCTTCTAACAATACTGTCATGTTTAATTTTCCAAAAAGTATCAAAACATAGAGAACTTAACTCTGAAAACTATTGAAAAGAACATTCTAGCTTATTTTCTCATGTTGCACTTTATTTTAAAAGATATTTCCTAGCAAGTTTAAACTTGAAAAATCTTAGGAATTCTAAGGAGTAAAACCATACTTGCCTCAGGAAAAATCAATTATTTCATCCAGTAGCATTCAGATGCCCTTTCTGCCTCCACAAAGCCCAAGGCAACTGTTTCTATCATCTTGTTCTAGACTTTGACCCTGATGCCTGGGTTACTGACACTGCTTCAGTTTGTTGAGCTTTACTATGAAGATTTAAATAAGAACCAGATTTTCAGAGGCAGGTGTTTCTAATTCCTGCAGCATCACCCATGATGTAATTTGCTTAAAAGAGATGGAAAACTTAAGGGAGAAAGAAAGCAAGGCAAAAATGTCATCAGTATGAATGACAGAGACCTGGACGTGATATCTGATTCCAGAAATTCTCCAGCAAGTCTTCAACTAAGTTTTATTTTCTGTGCTTTCAAAGATTATGTTGCTAATGTTTACATTTACAAAACGTTGAGTACTTGGATAATGAATCTTCAATCATTTGTGGGTAGGTCAGGTGTCACTCTTCACTGAGAACCCAGCATTGTTGAATCTTCAACGTTAGAACAACAAACATATTTATATTTGTCAGTGAATTAAGTTGAAATAGGGCAATTATGGGGCATCATAAGTCAGGCTTATGATGTTATTTAATGCTTAATACTTTTTTAATTGCTATGAAGTGAGAAAAGTCACTTAGAATTTATTTACTAAGAGTTTTAAGTAAAATACTGATAATGACTACATTGGAAATACTATTTGAAAGCACTTGAAATTATATGGAATTTTAAGATTTATATGGACTATTTCATTTGAATTCAATAATAAGTGAGCTGGCATTTTTTTTTACTTTAAGTGATATTTAACATGTTGAGTTTTCAACATATTTCAGGCACAGATATTAATTAATTGACCGATATCCATTTCATCTTTACCACGATCCTATTATTCCCATTTGAAAATAAGAAAAGTGAGGATCTGGGAAAAAAAAGAAATAAATTTCTCAAGGTTGGGCAGCAAGTGGCCACCTAGAATTTTAAGCCAGATTGGAGTGAGCTAATGCCTGATGTTTTCTCATGTATTACAAATATAAAGCAAAAGATTGCACCTGGAAGAACAATCGCATGCATGGTCTTTACATGTTGCAACTTGAAAGGTATAATGAAATAAAAGGTACTACTTCCATAGTCCATTGTAAAGAGCACAGTGTGCCATGCAGTAAACAGCAAAGTCAGCTGCCACACACATCCTCTTTGGCCCGCTCAATGTCCCCAACAGATCATGGACAGTTCACATGGTAAGGGGGTCCTTTTCGTCACAGAAAATATACATCACTGAAAGTACATACTGCACAATATAAACAGCATAGGTAATTAGAATAACAAAGGAGATGTTGGTAGATTCAGATATGGAACTACAGTGTGCCAGGGTCACAAAAACCAAGAATTGCAAACTTGAAAGCAGTGAGTCCAACTCTAATACCAGGGGAGCTTCTAAAAAAAGGTGACACCATCCACATTTAATAGATTTACTTGTGTAATTTTTATTATGACAGACATTTTGTGAAAGATATTGGCTTAATACAGCTGTCTATTTTGGAATGCCCGTTAACTTTAAATGTAATGTTTTAACATCATCCATATGCATAATTATCAGAAATCTACAAGACAATAATGATAATATTCTGAGGATTGAAATGTATTGATATTAAGTACACACATTTTCCCCCTTTTTTCCGTACTCATTATTCCCTACAAAATTGCAGGATTCATAAGTTTAGAGCAACCTAAACATACATTTCTTGATTCCTTGACTGAGCACATTATTGGTAATCAGTATCAGTGATGAGAAAGGCAATATTTTAAAGGTGTTGTCTTAACTCGAGGTCAGACTGCAAGGTCATTACTGATTGGACACAAAATCATTTTTCTGACAAATCTGATCTCATTGGATTTGACCCGAGTCATCCTGTTATTCCTTCCATGAGACAAGCTGCCTGTCTTGCTCATCCAAGTTATTAATTACCAAAATCCTTTGTATTATATAAACCATTTGTCTTCTGAATTTATTCAGTCTCATGGTTGATTTCCCTTGATTTTCCTTTAGAATGAGTCTATTTGTAATTTAATAATGTCTTACATTCCGTACCCACATTTAAAAATGGGACCAATAACAGCCTACATCATACGGTTGGTTGTGAGAACTAATACATTAATATACTTTTAATATCCTTAGAACATCATTTTACATGTAGAAAAGGTTGTCTATTTTTTTGTTTGACATTATTACACGTGTTATTTTCCTGTATACGTAAGAGATCATATCCTCATCCTTTTGTTAGGCATGACTTGTCTTGAAAAATTTCAGGAAGGGACAAATTGCAAACCTAGCCTCCAAAAAATACTATTTGACAAACATAAATCAGAAAAAATATGAAATAAATCTTCATATCATCATAAATTCAATTGCTTAAAATCTAGATTCTATTTTAAACTTATTTCCCAACTTAGCTTAGAGTCCAGTTTGTATGCAGATCAGTCGGAGGGAGAAATCCCACTGATTTAAGCAGGAACACTAGAATGTTAAATCCTTGATGCTGAGGGGATTATATTTCAGTACAACATCTACTTTTCAAGAGATGTGATTTGGAGAGCTTTAAGAGTCATTATCTTTTCTCTTTCCTCCAACAACTCCCTGCTCTAATCCTTTTCTATTTATTGATTTGTAGATTTTTTTCCCATTGTCTTATCCCAACACTGTGGTCAGAAAAGTCGGCAAACTCTTTCCAAATATTATTCGTTTATTTTACTTTAATAGGGGCACAAAAGCTATTTTATATTTTCGAGATCCTTTACATAAGAAAGAAGAAGTCAACTTGTATAACTCCTAGGAGGGACTTGAACATGTTCCATGGAAAGAGCAGCCCCTGGATCCCGGAGTTCCATGGAGTAGTGTCTTAGAGTTATGTGGCAGCACTAAATATGTCTCTTTATTCAGCTGGGAACCATAATAAAAAGTGATTTAGATAAGTGCACACATGAGCACAGGGCTCGATGGTCTAAAACATTTTACAAATATTCTAAGAACTACAAATAAAATTATACTAAATTGATCCTTATTGACATTAATTGTATAAAATATTAAATATTTCTTTTCTGGTCATTTTGCCTGATACCAGATTCTGCGGTACATTCCAAATCTGATTATGTCTGTGTCTACTCTGGCTTATGTTCAAGCACAAATAAAAGGGCAGTAGAAAACACTAATAACATTTACTGTGGAATAAACTCTTGTCTCTATGGAAAAAGAATACAATTACAAACCCCATTGTAGAGATCTATTATGCAACCATTTTTTTATTCACAAAGAATACAGATGTTTTTCTTCTTAGATGACAAATGCAACTCATTTAATAAAGAAATTAAAAAAAAATAAGTGTCAACTGAAATTTTACGAATCAAACCTTTAAAATTGTTCCAGGAGAGTTTACTTTTCAACAATTACTCTTTTGTAAATTACTATTGAAAGCAAATAATTATCACTCAATGCTATATGATCATATGTGCTATGCACTTGTGAGTGTGTATTGTGTACACGTATACAGGTCATAGTTGGCCTAAGAAACAAGGACCAAGATTCTAGCTTTGACTCTTTTATTAACTACTATATGATGTTCAACAAATTCTCTTCAGTGGTCTGGGTCTCAGTTTCCTCACCTGTAAAATAAAAGGCATATTTAGACCATAACCTCTCATATTTCTTATTCTATACTCCATGAAACAATTCTACCACTCACCACACTATCATTCTTGCTTAAAACTGAAACTCCATCATAGAAAATTACTTGTTATACATAATTGTACTAAATAATGGAGTTGTCAGGTAAAATTGCTTGTTTGTACATCCTAACTCCTCCTTGCAACTGTCCTTTTATGATCTTTAAATGGTTGATATTTATGTGATCACTGTAAACTGAGCTCTTGGTTTTAAGCTTATTAGTTTGCACAATGGTGACATACCCCAGGCTCCTGGACTTATGTCTCATCCTTTCCTTTTTGAAACACTTTTGTCTCTCATCTTGGAGAAACGACACTCTAATTTCTACTCATTATCAGTCCTCTCCCCTACTCAATCTCTTACTGTTGGTGGTTCCTGGAGGCTGGCTCCCTTCCCTTCCTTCTACACACTAGCTGCCAAATGGACACCAACAGGCATCTTCAACTTACAACTTCTAATTTCCCATCTCCAGTTCCATGACTCTCACCCAAGGCATCAGCACCTCTCATGCACCTATTTAAATAGCCTCCCAGCTTCCTCTCTGCCTCCCCTCTTGCCACTTTAGACTTTTTTCCCACATAGCACCTAAAGTAAATTTAAAATATAAAGTAGATCACATTGTACCTCTGCTCTACTGCCAGCCTACAACAGTCAGAACCAATCCCAGTCTACTCTCCCTGGGCAACACTGCTCTGTGTTCCTGGCCTCTGCTCACCTCTCTGCCCATTCTCACCTTCCCATCCCAGCCACTCCATGCTACTGGGAATGCTGCTTGCCAATTCTGCTACAAATTTGCACAAGGCAGCCTCCTTCTCCAAGGGGTTTTCTTCAACCTCACAAGGTGGAATAGCCACCCAGTAGTATCTATCATCACTCTACTTAAAATTCCTAAAGAGCTAATCAACGTTTGAAAAATTTTCAGATCACTATCTCTTGCCCCCATAAGAACAGAAGCTCCTTTAGGCAGGATCTTGTCTGCTTGTTCATACCAAAACGCTGGCTCTTTGACCAATGCCTGGCATGTAACAAATGCTCAATAAATGTTTGTTTAATAATGATGAGTGAGCCAGGCTCGGTGGCTCAGCCTGTCATCCTGCGCCTTTGGGAGGCTGAGGTGAGTGGATGGCCTGAGCCCGCGGGTTCGAGACCCACCTGGGCAGCGAGACCTCATCTCTACAATAAAATAAAAAAATCAGCCGGACGTGGTAGCGCATGCCTGTAATTCCGGCAACTCGGAAGGCTGAGGCGGAAGGATCGCCGGAGCCCAGCAGGTCAAGGCTGCGGTGGCCGGGAGCGGCCACTACACTCCAGTCTGGGCGACAGAGTGAGACTCCAACTCAAAAAAAAAAGATGAGTGGATGAATAAACAAATGAGTTCCTGCATTTTAATTTACTGATCCAGTCTAAATAAACCATTTTTACAATTTTAAATTTGTAAATACATGTGATGTTCAAAATGTGTTAGAAAGACACACTGAATTTTCTTTGTGGTATTTTATGTGCTTATTCACACTTGTTTCATTCCTGATGAAGTGCATATATGGGCCTCTATTTTATAATAAATAAACTTTTTTCTAAGATCAGTTATTCAATGTGAAAATAATAACATCTTCAGAAACTAGAGAATGTGAATTTTCCATAGCTATTTTTGAGGATTTTTAAAAACCTGATCATTTTCTAAATAGATCATAAAGTATATATCACAAAATAATATTTCCTTGCTCATTATATTACTGTTAGACACAGAGACACTTACGTGTCTTATCCTCATTATTCTTCATACATTTCAATAATTTTGCATTTGCCAGGACATGCCAGCCTGGAAATGCAACAGTGAAGAATGAGTCACTGTGACAGTAACACAATTAAATCCTCTAGCGCAGTCTCCAATACATAAATTGCTAAATTCCCAGCTCTCCATGTCTCTCCCTTAAATCACTGAATTTGAAACAAAGGGTCCTTGGAGTGCCTTGCAATCATTTTCCAAAAGGATGTTCCTTTCTACTTTAGGAAGCCCACCTTCTTTCCTTCTACTCTTCATGTATCTCTCCACTAGCCCTCATCCCTGTTTCCTAAACTCCATCGTTTTCCCTACATCAATGGTCTCTGCTCCTCTGGTTGCCTTTGACATGTGTCACTCTCTTTAGCATTACCACTGCCCCTGTTGGCCCAAACATTTTGTTGAAACTAACTCCTAAAGAAACCCAGCTATCGCCAGCCTGTGATGGAGGTAGATACCCAGTTTTTCACCATCCCCCTGTGCATCAACACACAGTCCCATCCATTGTTCTGTAGCTGATTTTGTCCTGGTCTCTTCTCTAGCCAAATTTGCACTCATGGCCACAGGACCCTGACTTCAATCCCCAACACTGATCCCTCAGATCTGTTCTCCCAAACATTGAATATCAGCTTTTCTCTAACATCTAACCCATAGGTAGACACTCAATTACTAGCAATGATGTCTTGGAATCCAGAACCCAGTTCTCATCTCAGACACAGTCTTCCACCTTGACTTCTGCTCCCCCACAGGGAGGGCTACTTCATCCCCCAATGTCCACAAGTTATAGCAGTTGGTGTAACTGCTGTAGGTGGTGGACATTTATTTTTTTGGATCTTCTCTCTTTGGGGGACCAGACCTGATGGATTATTCCTTGGTTTGTCAGACTTTCATGCAAACTACATGCTGGCCCTACTGACCAACACATGGCCTCCTAAGGGAACAAAACATAGGTACTTTGTTGCTGAGGACCTCTGAATGCCTCCAGGCTGAAAAAATAATGTCCCATTTGTTTCTGATTATACAATAATGATTAAAAAGTAGTATGATAAATATTAATGACAATAAACTCAACCATCCAGAGGCAAACATGAACAATTTTATGTACTTTCCTATCTTTTAAAATATTATAAATTTTATGCAATAGTACAATATTTCAATGATAATTCTGTATTGTCTTTTACTTGGATTATGAGCATGTTCATATATAATTACATATTTATCACAAGTGTGGAGAATTCCACAGATTTGTCACTATATAGGCATTCCTTTATATTTGTTTCTAGTTTTTTCTATTACAATAATTTTGTGAGAGTAGTGTTTATACTTAATACTGTGAATTTCATATTATTCCTCAAGACTAATTCCTAGAAATAAAATTACTAGTTTAAAGAATATAAAAGTACTGTCAAATTGGTTTCCAGAAAAAAATAACAATTTAACTTATTTCAGGGGGCCTGCCTTACTGTGTACTTGTATGCTCAGAAGCATTGAGTTCTTTCTTTTTCAAGTCTTTGCCACTGTAAAATTTGAAAAGTAAGTGGTTTCAATTTACATTTCTTTGGTTAATTTGTACGTTTTCTTTCTCCCTTTGGCTTTTTCCCCTCCAATTGCTGAGGTAGTGTTCCTCATATTTTGAAAATATTAAGCATATGATATTTTTATAGTTTCCAATGAAAAGTTAGTCAAAGTAAGATTTTTATATTCTATAAGCAGACATCGCATTTAATTGCCATCTTGTCTATATTTATTATCACCTGTCATCACTGGCATCTTTATTGAGTCACATATCTAATATCAAAGTTGATATTAGAAAAGAATTCAGTTGGAATACTTCTTTTCAATGAAATTGGTCTGAAACCAAATTATTTTGTGCCTAACATCAAGACTTGCCCACAATCTTCTTGAAGCAGTTTTTAAGGCATTAAAAACACTCTACTTAAACAAAGCCCTCCAATTGTATATCTACAACATCTAACTGTTGACAGACTTTCCCTTCCTTAGTAATGACTTAAAGGCTGTTGTAACAAGACTATATAATTCTCTTGAAATCCTTTTCTTTTTCTCCTAAGAACATCCTTTAAGGACATGCCGTGGTTTTCCCCATAGTTAAAAGTCTTCGTTTCTCAGACTGGTAGTAATAACACACATGAGCCCAAACAACAAAATCAAAAGCTGCCAACACCACAAACGCCTAATGATGTCTAGTGTGGAGCCCCCAGTGTAGCCGAGACATAAACAGCTGCTGAGGAGCAAGCAGGCCTTGGTGGCACCATTGTTAATGCCATATCCCAGCTGTGCTGTGTCAGGCTTAGTAATGAGCACAGCAGCGGTGCGATGGGGCGTTGCATTTCTTCCTGACATATCCCCCAAATGACTTTTTACAGCCTACTTCTATTAATTAACTTCATCTCCTAGCCTGGTGCTGCAAATACTTTCTTATTGCATATTTGTGTGGCACACACCATGGCGAAACACACTTAAGTTGACTGGCTGTCTCAAAAGTGACAGCACAACAGGAAGAAAATAAAATATTCTAACCAGACTGCTGATGAAGTTATAAGAACAAGAGAAAACCAACTTGGCATCAAGATGCAGTCATGGAAAGCTTGTCAAGAATGTTAAAATCATTTTCTCCTCCTTCACAAAACATAGGGGAAGGTATGATTGATGGATAGTTCATTAAATAATGAAAGATATTATCTTTTAAAAGTCATAGGCTTCTACTCAGCATTCTAATCCAAGATGAAGATGACCTTTGAGTCTAAGTGAAAAGGTGTAAAATTTAAAACCACAAAAATACTTTGGTAACAGATATAAAATTAATTGCTAAAAATGTCAATTTAAACAGGTATTAAGAGATTAATTTATGCATATAATCAAAAGCATTTTTTGAGCAATTAGTATGTTCATGGTTTTTTGCTGGGTGATTTTGGGGAAAAGTATACAGCTCTCACTAATTATTTAAGTATCTGCTATGTGTCAGATGCATATTAATTCTAATTTTCACAAGAACTCTGAAAAGTTGACATTATATGTTCATTCGACAAATGAGGAGACTGAGGTTTGAATTTAACTAATTTGCTCAGAATCACACAGTGGCTCTTAAATATCACATCCTAAACTTGAACTCAAGGTTTTTGTTTTTCTGACTACCAACTC